CTCTCGCTTATGTTTTATTCATAGACCGGTAGCAAAGTTTTATGTGCGTTCTTGCAGGACCCAGGCTGGGATAAGGCTCAGTGGGTATAATTGCATCTCGCATCTGTTGTTCGATCCCTTCCTCGCGACCACCATCACGTCATATTTGGATTTTCTAGCGCTCCCCGCCGAAGTCGGCCTGGTCCCTTGTTCTGTACCATTAGGTGTCCTGGTTCCATGCTATCCTTGGTTATTCTTGTATATTCACCTTTCCCCCCTTGCAACGCTCTTCGCTTTGTTTTTTTTTGCAATGCCATGATTATCATCCACCCGAAATTACAAAACAGAATGTGGGAGGTGTGTGGAGTACTCATTATGAACCGTTAATCGGTTCCTCTTCATCCACGGCATGTTCGTGGACAACGATATCCATGACCGATCTGACGTCAGGTGAGTCATCATTGTATGAGAAGATAGTCCTGAAGTCGCACCGCAAATTCATCGAGTAACCACTTTCAATGTCGGTTAATGTAAGGATATCAACGGAATGTACTCCTGAGGTCACAGCAAGAAAGTCCATACGGACAGATTGACAGGTTGACGGTCTCAGCGGCCTGGAGGCGCATAATCATGCTAGTACCGCAGTGCGCCACAGACAATAGTAATTGACTCACCCGACTCTGACTCGATTTTGCAACGGCAATATCCCAGGAGGGACCATACTAGTCTTGAGCTCCTCGAGGGGAGCCTTACCTCCAGCTCCTTGATCAGCCTTGTTTTGCTCGACCTTTCTTCGCCGCCGCCGATCAGCATCCGGATAACTAACCTCGAACCTCCTCGTCCACGAACTCTGGTTATACACAAATATATCCAGCGTGAATCCGTCAGAAGGGTATATCTTCCTTTGACCGCTCTTGGTGTCCCCAGATTCAGCAGGCAAGAGGCCCACAGACACAACAATGGGCTCTCCATCAGGTGGTAGTTGTTCTTGGTGAGATTCGAAGTTGGTCCCGAGAACAGTTGGCAGTGGCGTCTGGGGCACGGCGCTCATCATCCCCGCCCCCTTCTCTCGCCTGATCTCGATGCTTGGCCCCGAATACCCCTGCTGACTACCCAACGCTTGCGAATACGGCGTATTCGGCGCAGCGGCCGCACTTGGGAATGCCGGATAGGCAGGGGTAGGTGGCGTGACGAACGTCTGGGCCAGCGGCTCAGGCGGAGCGTGCACATTCATATTGAACCCCCCACCCACCCCAGGTGTCGGAGGAGGCATCCCAAATGTCGTAGACGGGGACCTATTATATGCTTGGAGGGCAACAGACGGAGGGGTAGGTGAATAACCCGACATGTGGGCTGAGCTTAAAACTGGGGACCCTGTGGAGTGATCGCGGGGCGGCATCGAGAGCCGAACGTTCGCGTTAGGGTTGATGGCGCGTAGGGCTGTGATGTTGCCGGGGAGGGTGTGTCGTTTACCTGCAAAAGCGCTTGGCATGGGTTTTGGTGTTGAGGGCGATGAAAACACGGATGAGAGGGCTGTGTGGCCTGGAAAGGGAGAGGGAGGCTCAGGTAGGGCGCTGCGTCCCACGCCGAAGTGCTCGTGGAAGTCAGAGGGCTCTTCGCGGGGTTTGGATGCGAGGTCGAGGATACAGTTCCATCTGGAGGAGAAAGTTCGAGTTGGATATGATAGAATCTTGTTATCGTCACTTTCGAGCTTATCGCTTGGGTTGGTGAGATAGGGCCTGCCGTAGATGTTAATCGTCACCGCCCTCTGGAGCTCGGGGTTACTGCTCATAGCAGGTCCGGTCAGTGAAAAGCCATCCTGGTCATTGGGCGTGTTCAAGAATGATACGACGTAGAGGAGGTTGTATTGCTCCATCGACCCAATGAGCAGAGGAAAGAGGTGCTCCTCCACGTCTGAGCCAAAGGCACCATCTCCCCAACCGATCAACCTCGCAGTCGCTCCTTCTCCGCCAATCTTAACATCGACGCGTTCCAGAGAAAAGCCTATACCTGGCCCCGACTCCCCAGAGTTCTCGACTTCGACGCATAGCACGACGGTGCGTTCGTTGTTTCCCGCTTCCCGTTCTTCGTTACCGCTCTCGAATTGGCCATTGTCGCTGTCATCGTCGTCATCGTCGGAACTGGATGGGTCCTTAGGAAATAGGACGTGAGGGACGAAGACTGTACGCATGCGCACACGGAAACCGGAAACAGTCTGCAAGATCTTACGGAATGACTTCCTCAATATGTGATGTGGACCACGTTTGGAACTAGGTAGAGGAGAAGGGGACTGAGATGCTGGAGATGCCGGCGGGAGAGAGAACAGCTGCTGACGAGTGACATTCCCCAATCGAGTCGAGGGAAGATGAAGAGGGTCCGATTCTGATGATATGCTGGAACCTATTAAGGGCAATTTTAGTCGCTCTTTTGGAAACTGTTGAATCTATAGACAAACCGATCGACAGTCCTTCTAGCAAGTTGACTTCCTCGAGACCAGTGATGTCATCTTCCCCATCCTCTCCATCACCGTCGCGTTCCATAGCAGCACCGCCCGCAGCATCTTGCTGAAGGAGTATACCTTTCTGCGCAAGGAACACCACAAATGGATGGCTCGGTTGAGAGAGGGACAGCGCCTTGTCGCGCAAAGTAGCCGACGCCGTCAAACAGAGGAGAGGGTCGGAAAACGGGAGGCGGAGAAAAGCTGGAAGTTCGTTCGCCGAGAGCAGTCAGTACGATAAAAACACATCTGTGACATTACTTACACACAACCAACGACAACTCATACACTGCAACCCATGCCCCCTGGGCCTCCGAGTAGAGAAGGGCAAATCTCTCCTCCGATTGTTCTGGAGATTTGCTGGAACCCCATATACTGGCAAGGAGTAGGGTGCCTTCAGATTGTACATACTTTCGGTCTCCCTCAGCAGTTGATGGGATAGGGTTCGGCGTGTGCGGTGGGAATATTGATGGGTGCAATGATGTGGGGCGACCTTTGGGTACCCCTCCTACAGATGAAGTGCGTGGAGGGGCGAGCACAGCAGTCTGCGGTGTGTCTGGGTTCGGCATAGGTTTCTGTGAGATGTAGGTAGCCTCTAGGGAGACCTGTACATGGCTGAGGAAATCAACCAGGTGTTGGGGTGGTGTACAGGGATCAGCAGGGATGTTTTGTGACGGGTGCTTGATCTGCATCGTCAGCAGTAGGTGCAATTGCTCATCTATAAACATGATTAGCATCTGTCTGGGATGGGTCATGCCGCGTTGTACCTCACCAAAGAAAGCCTGCTTTCTCTCCACTCGCGATTCCTTGAGGCTTGTCAACCATTCATCGGCGAGGACATCTTCGGGGAAAGTGACAGAGGTGTCTGGGGTGATAACCTCAAGTACGCAGGACCCAAACAGTGTCTCAAACGTTGCCTCAGCCATGTCACAGTATGGCTACTATATGTTGTGACACCGTCGTAGGATTCAGTGATGGTTCCTTGCAATGAAGTTAGATCCAGCCGTAATATCTCAAGCCTACTGTCTTCGTTCAAAACGATCCCGTGTCACAGGAGGGACTGCTTAATGCTACCCCAGTGGTGAACCGTCGAAGTTGCAGACAGTTTGTTTATTTCTAAAGCCCGTGCCAAACAACCCGATCTCAAAGTGGTAATTTCAGGCTTCTTATGGTCAATCATATAAATCAACCTGGTAATCTCTGAGGCTTCCACATTCAGGCTCTCGTGCCACCGTACGGCTAGAAGCTTTATCTTCGAGCATGCAGTCGTTTCCACCTCCTGAACTTATCTCTTACATCGGACTGGTGTTAATCACCGACGAGCTGCATGCTCCTGCCGACTTCTTGATCCATCGGTTTTTGAACCTACGACTCAAAGACGCGAAGCAGACCAGATGTCTGATGCTTTCGGTCTCGGAAGGCTTGGAGCGAATAAAGGCAGTTGCTTCCAAATCAGTACGTGCCAACAAACGTCATGTCCCTCCCATGATATGCTGATCGCCCGAAGAACTTGAACCTATCACAAAATGGAAGGTTCAAGTTCATTGACTTGAACGCCCAATTGGAGGTACCAGTAGAGACCGGCTTGGCCTCCAATGAGTCAAGACTACGCTCCGTGTACGATCTCGTATCTTCGGAGCTTCGGAATGCACTCGGCGGTGACGGGAAAAGTCTCGTCATCCTGGACGATATTGCATCCCTTGAATGGCTCGGATTCTCTGCTCTTGATTTGTCGCGATTTTGTCGTGCACTCAAAGTACTCTGCCTAAAGGTGCGAGCCTTGGTCCTGATAGCCGACAGCCTGCTCAAATGTTCCCAGTCGAACGCGACGCTGGTGATAAGACACCACATCCTAAATCCATCGGAACCAGACCCCCTCTTTCATAGCCTTCAACAACTATGCTCGTATCACGTCGAAGTAAGACCCTTAGCAAGTGGACGGAGTGGTGCTGTCAGCGGCGAGGTGGGTTTGTCTCTTCGAGCCATGTCCAAGGATCCGACTCGAATGCAATCAATACAGGTGTGTCTGCATGTGGGTCCTGTTGAGAGTGAGCCGTCGCTGCGGCTTATCGCTCGCCCAACTGCACTCCAATATCGACTCACCGACGGAGGAGCTATCTTCTTTGAAAAGGGTACGAGCGAGGGGGTACTTTAGGTCAGGTGTATTGCAGCAAGCACTACACCACGAGCTACGCCCTCGATTCATTACAGAGTAAGAATTACTTGGTTTCCCTCGCTATTTTCTAGACGGCTGATCTGCAGCCTTTCTGAAGCTCCATGTAATTTCCCTTGTGGACGTGGCTACCGCACCAGGTAAACCAAAGGTTGTTGGTGAGCAACACGTGGAGCATCTTAGGCGCACGTCACCATGGTCAATAGGTCTCAGGGTGGTAGTGTAGTTGTCTATCTCTCAAGCTTCGCAAAAACCTCAGAAGGCTCTTAGGGCTGCATTAGGACTGATAGGGGGTAACAGCAGTTGTGGTGAGAGCCTTATATGATGCCTGGTGAACCCACGTAAATAAGCGGTCTAGTAGTGTAGCGGTTATCACTCAAGATTCTGATATATGAGTTCTTGTAACCCAGGTTCGATTCCTGGCTGGACCTAACTTTTGATCTTTTTTTCTCGCGTTCTCTGCTAGCATTTGATTTTTTGCGATTTCCTCTCATTGTTTCTTGTTTCTTGTTTCCCGGATCCCGAAGGTTTACGAAACCCATCGCAAGCGGTCCCATTATAAGTGTAAATTCTGAAACGCCCACCCCAACAGGACCTTTGGGAGCTACGAAACGGAGACTGTTTCATCATGACGAGAAAAGAGAGTGCAAGTGATTCGAGCTGACTCGTCGGACCACCCTCCTCCTCGGACACAGGTAGCCGTTACACAAGATCTGGCGTCGGCAACGCCCACTCCTTGTTGCATCATGATGCCCGATCAGTGCTCAATGGGTTTTATTGCTGCGGTCCCGACCGCACAAACTGTTCCAGATCGGTGGGTCCATGGGTAAGACACGTGCTAATGCAACAGGAGTACCAGGAACCGAGTTTTTGTTGAAAGGTGCTACACATTTGTTTTTATGACCGGAGGCTCTGCTTCATGACATGTATATACATGCATTACGTGGGAGATCTGACCAAGCCGTGCGGCTCGGGACAGCGCAGGAATTGATAGGATTGAATGGGTCCCCGATGAAGAACGAGAGGCTGGCACCCCTTGGTTTGCAAGGAGCCTCAGTGAGGAGGGTGCTAGCAAGGAGGCGGAGATTCCACTGATTACCTCGCCAGCGCACGCTGATCCTGCGAGCAAAATCGCGATCTGGCCAGTGGCCTTCTGAGCGGACCGGTTGTCGCCTCGGGATGGAGGACCTCCTCTCCAAGGATGCACCTCCAGGAGCGCGAAAATAACGATCGAAAGGAGTTCCACCGTCCTTCTCAGCTCCCCCTCTTAGCGCCAGCCAAATCGCTCATCGCCTTCTGCACCTCAAGTTTCTCCATGACCGCCCGGTGCAAGCTCGACTTGTTCTTGTTTTTACCCTTAGCCGGCGCCACCGCGAGCTCGTCAGGTGTGCCGACGGACGTCGAGGCAGCAGCATGAGCGTTGGTGCTTTCAGCGGGTGCGTTCTTAGCAGTAATGTGTGAGGGAACTATGATAGGCGTTTGGCGAGGGGGCGGAGGCCACTGGATGTTACGTGTCATTGTCGGGGTGTAGACGGAGCGGCAGAAAGCACTTACACCGCGGTTAGGTTGGTTGAAATGAAGAGCTGCCCACGGAGGGTATTCTTTCTCAAGTTGTATGATATGCTCTTCTAGGAAGTTGAGGCGCGCAAGCAGGGTACGAGGTCGTGCAGGGACTGCGTTCCGACTCATTCATTACAGAGGGTAGATGAGGAAACGCGGGGACCTACCATAGCGCACTGCAAGATGCGATTCAATGTTCTTGAGCCTCTCATCTAACGCAGGCTGATGTTCGCTCTGCGTATCGTCAGTGAGAGCTACCAATGTCTCCTTCTTGGCTTGCGTGCCGTCCGCGACCTTCATCGTCCTTCTCAGGGGTCCATCCTCGTTTTTGGCGATGTCGTATTTCATCTGAGAGTCTCTGTCCAGGTGCTTGGCGTCCGTCCGAGCACAGGACGGGATGGGCTCAGTGCTCTCGGGTTCAATGTTAAGGCGCCGTCGCTTCTGTGCCAACGACTGGAGAAACTCGGCACGGTTGGACGCGTCGTTCTTTGCGCGATTCTGCGCCAGAAATTGAGATATGGATTTTATGGTCTAGGGATGCGCGTAAGCGCGACCAGTCGAGGAGTGTAAGGTCCCAGGGACTTACCGTGGATTGTGACTGTGGTTCGGCGCCGTTGTTTAGATGAACATAGTCAAGCTTTCGTTCATCCAGAGGTCGTTCTTTCGGTTCTTCCCCCTCCTTAAACTTCCCCAGAGTCTGCACCAGACACGTCGTGAATAAGTTGCATGCCCCCGAACACCTATTCACGTCCACTTACCATCAAATCCCTCACCAAATCTCCGATCGCCCCAGGCACGCTCTTCCTCTCCCAATCCGCATTCAAAACAACCATATCATCTTCAAACCCCCTCAACGCCTGACTCAACCCCACCTTCTTCAGAAACGCACGTATGACCTCGTCCCAGTGTCTATATAAAGGCTCAGGCGTCGGCGTGCGCGGTTTTGGCTGTGGTTTGGCGCGATGGCGGGCTGTGGGCTGGGGTTGGGGTTGGTAAGACTGGTATTGGGCGTATGGGATTTGTGTGTAGTGGGTCTGTTGGTAGGGAGCGCTGCCGGATGTTGCGTAGGGGTAGCCAGAGAGCTGCCAGGCGTTCTGCCATGCTCCGGGTGGGTAGCTCATGGTGTAGTAGGCTTGGGCGGGGTTTTGCTGTTGCTGTCCTTGCAGTTGCGATTGCGGCTGGGTGAGCGGTTGAGCATGGGCATATTGAATAGGTTGTTGTTGGGAAGGAGTGGTTTGAGCGTTTTGTTGGATTGAGGCATAGTACTGTTGTTGTTGGGGCGCGGCTTCTGATGTGCTGGGTATTGCAGCAGGTGCTTGGGAAGAAGGTCCGGCTTGCGATGGTGGCGGTCCGCTTGTCATTCTACCCAGTACTGGTGTATGGTTGTTGTTGTGATATCTTGCAGCAGTCGTCGTATCGGACGACGGAGGTTGTCTGTTTTGAGCCTATGTCACGGCCCGCATCCGCCCCGCTATAACTTTGCCTCATCATGATCAGTTGCGTTCAGTAAAGTTGAGAATTGAATAAATCTGCTGAGAACCTCAAGGTATAATACAGATCGTAATGACCAGTGATATCCTCAAACCTCCGCCAAGATATGAACCAAAATCTCTTTCACTGTATCCCTCTGCCAGCCATCCGAGTCCTCTTTCGAGTCGCCAGTCTGCTCAACCTCACCAGGTACACTCACGGCTCCACACACCGCACTACTCAACACCTCATCAACCGGCGAGTCCCTCACCCTAAGCCGATGGGACACAACCCTAGGAAACATCCTCGCAATATCCGCTTCCGACACGTCCAACTCCAGCGGATCCTCCTCCTCCGTCAAATGACTCACAAAGCTACGATATACACTTGACGAAGCCCCCGACGGCTCGTATATCTCCGGTACCTCAAACCCGTCTAACAGCGCATCTGAAGACAAGCTCGCAACGCTAGAATGCGAATGCGGATAACCGCGTTCGGTAGAGTTGGTGTCGACTTCGCTTGGGCGTGGGGCACCGTTGGCAGCGTCTTTGATGAGTTCGGAGCCTGTGTGGTCGATCCCGAGCACGCGGGTCGCACGTACGAGAGCTTCTGCGTCTTGTCTCGCACGTGTCGTGAGCAACATCCCGTCCAGTGCACCATAATGCCGCGCGGCAGTGAATAAATCTGCAAGGTAGATATTCAGTGGATGTCTTATGCGGGCTTGAGTCGCGCAGAGGACTTTGAGTTGGCGGAGGAGGGCAGCAGGGATCGCAGGTGACGTTGGGGGCGCTGGTGGGGGCGTCGGTGGGCCAGGTAGGAAATTCAGGGTGGGGAAAGCCGCGGACGTGGCAGAATTGTGCGGTGACGAGAGCGCTGTGGACGGAGATGAAGGCGGCCGGTATTGGCGCATTGCCAAGCGTGTTTGCGGGCTAATAATGACAGGAGAGCTCATTGCAAATCTGTCGAGCTGCACGGGATTTACCCGTCAATCAGCAAACGACGTGTTAAACATTCCAAGCAGGTACGTACAAGGCTCTTGTATATCGGAGGTCTCTCCCGCGAATCAGATCGGCACACGTATACCATGAGGAATTGTTCTGGTAACTCCAGCACAAGCCCGTCTTGATCATGTCCAAAGGTGCCCTCATCAGACAAGACAAACTTTCTGTCTGCGAACGTTCGCAGCACGGCTTTCTGGGCTGGCAGACTGGCATGCTCAAGGCCAGACACAACCACCGCGGAGGGCAACCTCAGCGCCTCCATACTCCCATGTGATATATGCCCTTGATGACCCTTGCCATTGGAAGCCAAAGTTGGCACAGATGGCTCCGTATGTACTCCAGAGGGGTGGATACCAGGGCGCTGTGAGTGCGCGTCCGTGACATTGGGCTTCGGACCGATATCATCACTGTCAAGTTCCTCTGGATCTAATTGCGATCGCCGAGGTGTCGCGATGGATGGCTTGGATTCGCTCGGATAGGAAATCGAGCGCGAGAAGGATGTTTTCCTACTACGTGCTGTGCTGATGGAGGCTGGAGGTACAACGGGCAATTTACCCCCCGGATTGCGCGAGCTAGAGGTGCGCCGGTGCCTTTCCCGATGTTTGTGCGAGATACTAAGGGGTCCGTCGTTAGAGGCTGTGGAGGGAGGAAAGAACAGGGACCGAAGAAATTCGGAAGGCGTTTGTGTCTTTGCGTCCGAGTGGCATTTCAGTTTGTGAACGTTGTAACCGAAAATTGCGTTCAGGGCCTGCAAAGGTGAAACATTTGTTTAGGGTTCGGTCAGTTCGGGAGCGTGGAAGGACGTTGGGCGTTTCGGAGAAATGAAAGAACAGGAGGACTGACTAGTGTAGTGAGTTTCGTGACGAGGCCGATGTCCTCGTCGCGCGTACGCAATATTAAATTCCTGTCCCCGGAAATTATGCAAAGGAGCAAGACCTGAATTATCACAGGTTCCAAGGGGAGCCCTGGCGCTGCAGCACGGACCTGGCCCAGCAGTGATGGGAGGAAGAACTGTGTCCCTGGACGGGGTAGTGCACTGACGTCAATAGTAGACGCCATTCTGGAAACTGAGGTAAGGATGAGTACACTTGCGTTCAGCGTGGAACAATTGGGGCATGTCTGGACAAGGCCCAACTCTGGTCGCGGTCCTCTGGTCACGAGGAGTGCAAACGCCCTACGTAAATGTACACTGCAGCACTGGTTGCTACTGATGGCAACTGATGCGTGGCGGCGGATGGAAGACAAACTCGGAAGGAGATCGGAACGTACCTTTGACAGGTTCGAGGTTAGCGGGTTCTGGCTGCTGACACGCTCCGATGTGCACGCAAGTACGGACGGGTTCACAGGATGGCCTTTGCGTCCATGTCAAGATGATGGCACTAAGTACTGGCACATTTTCA